ACATACCAAGGGAACATGAATCAAATATGTATCTTTATTCATTTACAATAAACTCATAAAGTACATCATTCTGATTGAAGCTAAGGGCACACAAAACTGTCTAACAGCTCCCACTTGCACTTAGGTCCAATGGTATAAATGCATGAATGTGCTACATTCAACCAGCAAAACACTTTACATTAGAAGCAAGATAATGCCCTCCCCTTTTCATATGAGAGAGAATTGATGTGAGAGGAAGCTAAGGTGGTGCAAAATTTGTATTATTAGTGAATGCAAATGAGACAAAAAATATAAATTTTGTTTAAGGAAAGAGTGCAAATAGATGCAAAACTGAACTGCATGCAAAATTTGTGTCCGGTTCAAATTTGCACTATAAACAAACAGACATTGTTAGCAAGCTTGCAAATTGACCTGGGATAGGTCCAATCTTTTCATTAACCCATGCTATAAGATTCCCCTAAATCAACAAATTCACCACCACATCATGCTTTAGTTAGTTACTTGTCATAATTATATGATTTCTAAATTTTAACTTAATTACATTTTCTCTTCTTTATGATTGTTTATTAAGAATAAAAAAAAGTAATTGATTATTAAAATTGATATATCAAATACTTGTAATAATTCTATTGGTTCCTAAGAATTAGGATATACATGGATATGTCAGTTATTGTTTTATCGTTTTTAGGAATTCCCAAGTGTCTCCTCTTACTTCACACTTCTTTTTTTTTAGCGTGATGAGGCAAATTCATTAGTCATATGCTTTGGTCACAGTCCTCAATACAAGAGAGTAGAAAGGAAGGATAGAGACTCCAGGCCTGAATTTGAGAAACAGATAAAGCCAAACGCGTTATACAATGAGCAGCAGACTAAGTAAACCTAGGAGCATAATGAACTGAGCACTGAGAGGTTTGGTTCAAGTAAGGTCTGCAACAGCAATAACGTTTAGTAGTCGCCAAGGAGGAGATTTGTCAGTCTCCAACAAAGATTGAACAATTTGAAGTGCATCCCCCTCAATTTCGACCAAATTCAACTCAAGTTCTAGGATGAATTTTAAGTTTCAAGTAATGCCAAAGCCTCTGTTTCAGTTAGGGATGGCAATTTTTTCCATGCCTGATGGAGATTTGACTTTCCGATCCGATGGGGTAGGTGATGGGGGTTGTTTTGGTGGGCGGGGATGGGGACGGGGATTAATAGGACTCCCTTATCGGGGTCGGGGTCGGGGATAAAGATTGAGGTCACCGCCTCGCCCCAATCCTGATTGTATGTATATATATATATCTTTAAATGTTATTTATATTAAATATATATTATTTATAATATATATATATATATATCAAAACATATTTAAAACATTATTCGCAATTTAAAATTTTTATTTATTTTAAGTAAATTTATTTTTTTAAAAAAATTACTATTATCTACAAAAATTTCAGGGATTCGGGTCCCCGTAGAGAATCCATCTCTGTCGGGGATCGGGGATGAAAGACAAATTTTATCTCCAACAGAAATTGGAGACGGATATGATGTTAATTTCAGAATCGGGGGCAAGAACGAAGAATATAAAACCCGCCCCATTGCAAATATTCCTAATTTCAGCAGTGTAGCATCGTGGTTTTTCATTGCTCTTCCA